TTCTCCTGGTCTCCCATGGGGTGCAGGGCCCAAGGACTTGGGCCATCCTCCACTGCCCTTCTGGGCCACAGCAGAAAGCTGGACAGGAAGAGGAGCAACCGGGACTAGAACCCGGTGTGCCCGCGCCGCAGGCAGAGGATTAGCCTACTGAGCCATGGCGCCGGCCTCTGGCATGAATCTAAGATACGGGGTGGGCACTGTGGTGCCAACATCCCATATCCAGCACTGGTTCCAGTCCTGGCTGCTCCGCTTGCGGCCCAGCTCCCTGCTACTGCACCTGGGAAAGCAGCAGAACATGGCCACGTACTTGGGCCCCTGCACCCACACACGAGACCAGGATTCCTGGCTCTTGGCTTCAGCCTGGCCCAGACCCTGCTGTTACACCTCTGTGGGAACTGAACAGTGGGTAGAAGACTCTCTCTCTCTCTCTCTCTCTCTCTCTCTTCCCCCATCACCCAGCCTTTCAAATAAATAAATAATCCTTAAGAAAGAAGGTAAAAACAAGGAAGCCCATTTCAAAATATTTTTTCCGGGTGGTGCTGTGTGTAGTGGGTAAAGCCATGGTCTGTTGTGCCGGCATTCCATGTGGGCACCGGTTCGAGTCCCTGCTGCTCTACTCCTGATCCAGCTCCCTGCTAATGCGCCTGGAAAAGTAGCAAAAAATGGCACAAGTGCTTGGGCCCCTGCACCAGCATGGCAGACCCGGATGAAGCTCTTGGCTCCTGGCTTCAGCCTGGCCCAGATCCAGCTGTTTTCGACATTTGAAGAGTGAACCAGTGGATGGAAGCCCTCTCTCTCTCTCTCTCTCTCTCTCTCTCTCTCTCTCTCTGTAACCCTGCCTTTCAAATAAATAAATATTTTTTAAAAATGTTTTTCTATTCTCTACTATGGCAAAGGACACATTTTCTGTGACTGACACTGGCGTAGCGGGTTAAGGTACCGCCTACAGCGCTGGCATCTCATATGGGCACCGGTTTGAGACCCAGCTGCTCCACTTCCAACCCAGCTCTCTGCTAATGCTCCCGGGAAAGCAGCAGGGGATGGCCCAAGTCCTTGGGCCCCTGCACCCACATGGGAGACCAGGAAGAAGCTCCTGATTCCTGGCTTTAGATTGGCCCAACTCTATTGCGGCCATCTGGGGAGTGAACCAGCAGATGGAAGATTCCTCTCTGTGTCTTTCTCTCTGTACCTCTAAGTTTCAAATAAATAAAATGTCTTTTTTTTTTTTTTTTTGACAGGCAGAGTGGACAGTGAGAGAGAGAGACAGAGAGAAAGGTCTTCCTTTGCCGTTGGTTTACCCTCCAATGGCCACCGCGGCCAGCACGCTGCGGCTGGCGCACCGCGCTGATCCGATGGCAGGAGCCAGGTGCTTTTCCTGGTCTCCCATGGGGTACAGGGCCCAAGCACCTGGGCCATCCTCCACTGCACTCCCTGGCCACAGCAGAGAGCTGGCCTGGAAGAGGGGCAACCGGGACAGAATCCGGCGCCCCAACCGGGACTAGAACCCGGTGTGCCGGCGCCGCTAGGCGGAGGATTAGCCTAGTGAGCCGCGGCGCCGGCCTAAAATGTCTTTTTAAAAAAAAAACACATTTTCCCATTTTAACCTTGAGTGTTTTTAAAATTTAGAGACCACCTTTTCTCATTTTATGTAATAGTCATTTAATTAATTTTTTGAAGAATTATTTATTTGAAAGGCAGAGCCACAGAGAGGTAGAGGCAGAGAGAGAGAGAGAGAGAGAGAGAGAGAGAGAGAGAGAGAGAGAGAGAGAGAGAGGTCTTCCATCTACTGGCTCACTCCCCAGATGGCTGCAATGACCGGAGCTGGGTGGAGCTGAAGCCAGGAGCCAGGAGCTGAAGCCGGGTCTCCCACGCGGGTGCAGGGGCCCAAGCACTTGGGCCATCTTCCACTGCTTTCCCAGGTGCATTGGGAGCTGGATCGGAAGTGGAGCAGCCGGGTCTTGAACTGGCGCCCATATGGGATGCCGGCGCTGCTGGCGGCAGCTTTACCTACTATGCCAGAGCGCCAGCCCCAGTTATTGAAGTGAGTGTGGGCTATGATGGTGATGAGAGGCGGCACCATTGCAGAGGTGTTCCAACAGAAGCCCCTTGGTGAGTGTCTGAGTCACGAGTGAACGCGCACTGAGTGTTCCGGAGACGACTGTTCTGGAAGGGCAAAGGCCAGGGGAGCGGGGGCAGCGGTCAGCTGAGCCCCTGAGCTCGCCCCAGCGAGGGCGCCCTCCGTCAGGAGCACAGCAGCATGTTTTTGAAGTCACTAGCCACACACCCGTGAGGGCCTGCGCGGTGGCGCAGCGGGTAGAGCTGCTGCCTGTGACGCTGGCGTCCCGTACCGCCAGTGGTTCCAGTCCCGGCTGCTCCTCTTCCCATCCAGCTCCCTGCTGTGGCCTGGGGAAGCAGCGGAGGAGGCCCAAGTGCGTGGGCCCCTGCACCCGCATGGGAGACCCGGAGGAAGCTCCTGGCTCCTGGCTTCGGCCTGGCCTGGCCTTGCCCATTGGGGTCATCTGGGGGAATGAACCAGCGGATGGAAGACCTCTTTCTGTCTCTCCCTCTCTTTCTCTGTAACTCTGCCTTTCAAGTAAGTAAACAAGCCTTTTAAAAATACATACATACCGGGAACCGCGGCACCGCACAATATTCTTGTCACCTCGCTTTTGTTCCCGGGACTCAGGAGGGAGGCTCCTCCCGCCTTCTCAGCACAATGTCCTTGGTGTAAACAGAGTAGGAATATTTCCATGTTTCTCCCCCCGCAGCTCTGGGCCAGGCCCTGGGCTCTCCCTCCCTGCTATGGACCAAGGCGGCTCCACTTATTTTTTTTTTTTTTTTTTTTAGGAATTATTTATTTATTTCAGAGACGGAGTTACAGAGAGAGGGTGAGACCCAGAGATGGATCTTCCATCTACTTGTCCATTCCCCAAATGGCCACAATGGCCAGAGCGGGGCTGGTCTGAAGCCAGGAGCCAGGAGCCATCGTCCACTGCTTTCCCAGGCCATTAGCAGGGAGCTGGATTGGGAGTGGAGCAGCAGGGACCGGCCGGGGACCGGCGTCCATATGTGATGTGAGGCCTGCAGGCAGTGGTTTGTTTAACCTGCTGCGATATAGCACCGACCCCATGGCTCCACCTTTGGGTGGCAGTGACAGGCAGGCCCGCTACATGCCCAGAGGGAGAAGCTGACCTTCAGGGGGGCAGGGCACCCTGGGTCGTCTGCCAGGAACCGCTGTTGCACTCCCCCAACAATGCTGATGACCCGGTGCCTGGGGCCACCGGCTGCTGCTTTGCAGGCGCATTGGCAGGGAGCTGGACTGGAAGCCGAGCAGATGGGGACTGGAGCTGGGGCTCCAGGATCCTGGCATCGCAGGCGGCGGCTTACTCCGCTGCACAGCACCGGCTCCCACGCCACGCATCTGACCTGGTTCCAGCAGGTGCGCGCCGGGGTACGGCTGTGGGCGCAGACTGACCACCGAGGGAGAGGAAATGGCCTGAGGGCTTTTCCCACAGTGTGGGCTGCACCCGCCTCCCTCCTGGCAGGTGCTCAGGCCCCGGGGGGACTCGCGTGGCTTTCCCTTAGGGTGGCAGCCACAATCACGAAATCACCCTTCACTGTAGCCCGGGGGAGTCTGACTTGGAAACAAACAACGTTTGCTCATAAAAGAGATTCCGCTGGACAGAGGAGTCGCTGTAGTGCCCAACTGCTTCACCCGCTGCACCCCCGAAAGGAGATGCGGTCTGTCTGCTCCTGGCGGGGAGGGAGCAGGGCGCCTCCTGCAGCGATGTCCGGGGAGGGGGGCCCCCGTGCTCACGTCTCCCTGGAGCTCCATGTGTCCATCATTACGGCACTTACCCTGCTTCTGTCTCCTTTTTCAATTTGATTTTTATTTGGAAGGGAGAGAGGCAGTGACACAGACAGACAGACACCTTCCATCCTCCGGTTCACTCCCCAGATGTCTGCAACAGCCAGGGTTGGGCCGGGTTGCAGCCAGGAGCCCAGCAGTCAGTCCGGGTGCCCACCGAGCGCGAGCGTAGCAGGGACCCAGGCACTTGAACCATCGGGCGCCGCTTCCTGGGGGCACATCACCAGCAGGCTGTTAGCAGAAGCAGAGTTGGGACTCGAGCCCGGGCACCCATCTCCTAACTGTGTACCTGGCAGTTTAGAGAGAGCGGAGGCTTGGAGACCACCTGCGGGGTGCCCCCGAGCTGAGCTGGGCGGCCCTGTGGCAGGCGTCTAGACACAGCTCCCCATCAGGGGAGTACGGAAGGCAGCGTGCAGCTGAGGGCTGGCGGGAACAGAGAGGAGGCGCAGACAACGCATCTCACCCTGGAGCCCACAGAGCGGCAGCCTCACTAAATACCTACCCCAGAGTGGCTGCTTTGACCTCAAGGGGACTCGGGTGTCTGGACTGGTTAGCTGGAAGATTCGAGGCGGAGCCTCCCCTCCTTGCCGCCCTCCACCCCTGCCCGGGGGGACGGAGGCCAGCAAAGCCAGCCCTCACAGAGACAAGCCTGTTCTGAGTTTGCTGTTTTTTCCAAATGCTTTCCCTGCATCTACGATCGAGCGGCTTCTCTTTCAGTGGGTGCAGGCGGTAGACTACACGGATTGAGTCTCAAAGGTGAAGCCGGCCTTGCACTCCTCGGATCAACCTCGCTCGCTATTATGTTTCCTACATGCTGCTGGGTCGGAGCTGCTGAAGTTCTGCTAGGATTTCTGCATCTGACCTGGTGAGGAACGTCCTGTAGCTTCCTTGTCTTGTGGTTTCGTTATCTGGTGCCGGAGTCGGCCGTGCTGGCATCACAGAACGCGTAGCGTGCACTCCTCTCTCCTGCTTTTACTTCCTAGAAGCACTGGTGTAGGGCCGGCTTTCTTAGTCCTTAGACGTCCAGCCACCAGGAGCAGCCCGAGGCAGCACCTCCGAAGGCCCTTTCCTAGGCATACACCCCCTCCCCGAGACCCCAGCTACTCACAGCTGCACACACCACCCACGTTCTGAAGACCCCACAGGAGGTCCCCGCCCCAGGCCGCCGCACGATGGGTTTCCCCGCTGTCTCTCCGGCACCTATCAAGGCATCTCAGACGCACGTGTCTGAGCAGACCTGAGTTCCTGGCCCACCTCTCCTCTGGGTCCTCTCAGGTGCTGGTTTGACGTCCAGTGGACCCACAGGGGCCCTGAATGGCCCAACGGGAGGTCCCAGGCCACCCCTCTTTGGGATAAGGCCTAAGACTCCTCATCAACAGAGCCAGCCTGTGCAATTACTCAAGCCAATCACACCCCGCTGCAGGGACCGGGGGCACTCCTGCCCTGCTGGCGCCTCGCAGCCCCTCGGTCACTGTACTCACTGTGGCCCCGAGCACAAGGAGCCTTGTGCCGCGCCATCTCCACAGCCTCAGCACAGAACAACTCCGCTCTGTGCCACGGGCAACAGGAGGCGATGCCGACAGCCTCGTCAGGCACGCGAACCTGAACTGCTCCAGAGAAAACCCTCGGAGCCTTGGTTTCCCACACCCACAACCGACCACTGCCCCAGCCGCCCTTATTCCAGTTAGCCTCCCTGCCCACACGCCCCTGCTGCTCCCGCGGAATGGTCACAGGGACACTTTTCTAACCTAGGCTGGGTCACATCAGACTTTAGCTTCACATTCCCCCCGGCTTCCCGTGGCACACTCGGGGTAAAAGCCATCACGACCCTGACTCACAGGGCCTCTTCCGTTGCACCTGCTGCCTCTCTCCTTGAACCCCAACACTCCTGCCACACCTGAACAATTCCTGGGTCTTCGCACTCGAGTCCCTGAACGGCAGTTGGTCTCCGGTCACATGTCCCCTCCCCAGAGGGCCCTCCCTCAGCCTCTCGTCACTGCAGTCCATTCCCCAAGCACACATCTGTTTACCAACTGCTCCCACTCAGGTCGCACACGCGGTCCTTACCGGCAGGGGTCTGGCCGAGGGCTGCACTCCTGGTCCCCACGTGTGTTGCTCAGGCAGTACCCGGGGATGAATAAATGGGCTCTGACAGACGCCTGATTTTCTGATATTCTCAACAGTCATTGTAAACCTGCACAATCTTCGCTAAGCGGTTAGGTGGGAAGTGCACCCATTTCAATTGCTGTTCCATGAATGAGTGGAGTGGATCATTCCATCATGGTTCTCGGCTTGGCCTCTGCCTTTCTGCTTTTTTCCCTGCTCGGTCTTTTCTCTACTGCTTTGCAAGAACTACCGACACACCGAAGAAATCCGCCCTTTGTCCTCCGTATGCTGCAAGCAGTTTCCCTACTTTGGAACCCGCTGTCCTGGGTCAGTCTTTTCCTCTTGGCGTCTGGTCTGAGGCGTGTTGAGAGTCCTTCCCCACACCACGGTCTCTGAAACAGTCACTCTGGTTTTGTTCTAACGCTCTCCTACGTGCACATACGGAAGAGCACTGTTTAGACCGCTGATCCCCCTGGGATTCGTTTGGGGTATAAAGAGTAAGGAAGCAGTCTAGTTCAAAAAAGCAAATTTAATTTTAACTACAACAAACACAAATTTCTAGATACCATTTATATATAAATATATTGCTTTAATTTTCTCAAAAACATTCATATTAATTAAAAAAAAGTTTACATGTCATATCGTATAGCATCCATTGTTAGAAAAGATTTATTATGTGAAAGGCAGAAGGAGGGCACATGGAGAGATCTCGCCCGCCCTCCGGTGCGCGCTCCAAACGGTCCCAGTAGTCAGGCTGAAGCCAGGGGCCTGGACCTCCATCCAGGTCTCTCCTATGGGTGGCGGGGCCCCAATACTTGGGCCACCGCCCTTTGTCTTCACAGGTGCACTAGCAGGGAGACACATCAGAGTGGAGCAGCCAGGCGTGAATGGGCACTCCCAAGTGGGACGCTGGTGTCACACTGCCGGCTTAACCCCCTGCACCCCAACACCAGCCCCCACAGCAAGCAACTTTATGAACACATTTGATACCTATGTATGTATGTGTGTGTGTGCACACATGTGATAAAATACACTTCCCACAATCCTCCGCAAAGTGGCATTACAATCTGACACCGCTTAGCACCACTGAAATATCTTTCCAAGTCTCTTCAATTGTTTTCAACGTCTTCTCACTCTTCTGGATCTTGAAGACTCGTTTGAACTCATGTATTTTCTTTTAAAAAGTTTCTTTTCAATTAAGCTCACTTCTTCATGGAGTAAGGAGGCCTTTATTCTCAGCAGGAAGGAGAAGAGATTTAATACAAACTGGTAACTCAGAGAAAAATTAGATTCTTCGTAGGTTGTCACATGTTTACAGTAGCTGGAAGGGGAGAGAAATGAGGAAGTTGTCCTGAAGCTAAGCTGCAAACGCAGTGTCAACCCTGGAACATCTCCCAGGCAGCTTAGAGGGAAACTCAGAACAATGTAGAAAACTCCTTAATTTACAACGGAATGAAGTCTGCACTGTGTCTGGAGACCGCGCATGGGGACACGGTGGACGGGAGCAGGCCTTCCCCGCCCCTGACAGGAAGGACACTGCCCGTTTTCTGAGCATGCCCCAAGCACAGAAAGGCAGGTGGGGAGGACCCTGGACACACGGCCGAGACGGACTCAATCCCTGACGCCACCCATGCACCAGATTCACACTGAGCCTGTGCACTGTGCGGGAGCTGACTGAGAAATGTCACCTGTTCGCAAACAGCAGAACCTGACTCCGATCGAATCTCTATCACCAAACCTCCGCCCAGTGAGAGCCAGCAGTCTCGATCTACATCAAAGCGCAGGCAGCCCAGGGACAGAGAAGCAGGCCAAATGCCATCACGTGACCGTAGTCGGCAAGACCCAGGATATGGAGAACCCACCAGGACACCTGACCTAGGTAACTCAACGAGCAAATCATAGGGTAAAGAAGAGATTAAGAGGTGGCCTTATCTCTGTCTCTCTGCCTCTGCCTCTTTGTAACTCGGCCTTTCAAATAAATAAATCAATCTTAAAAAAAAAAAAAAGAGGGGCTGGCGCCGTGGCTCACTTGGCTAATCCTCCGCCTGCGGTGCCGGCATCCCATATGGGTGCTGGATTCTGTCCCAGTTGCTCCTCTTCCGGTCCAGCTCTCTGCTGTGGCCCAGGAGGGCAGTGGAGGATGGCCCAAGTGCTTGGGCCCTGCGTCCGCATGGGAGACCAGGAGAAGCACCTGGCTCCTGGCTTTGGATCAGCGTAGTGTGCCAGCTGTAGCGTCCATTTGGGGGTGAACCAACAGAAGGAAGACCTTTCTCTCTCTCTCTCACTGTCTAACTGTCAAATACATTTTTAAAAAATTAAAAAAAAAAAAGAGGTGGCCTTTACGATAACACTTAAGGAGCGGTCAGCCACTCACAGCAGATGGGCCTTATTTGAATTCTGAGGTGATCACGTGACGGCTGTGAGACACCCCCCCCCCCCCCCCCCAGCACTGACTGCGTGTTTGATAATACTCAGGAATGACTACTTTTTAAAATCTGATCAGATGTATCACAGTTGGATCAGAAAAAGTACTTTGGTGTTTGTGATGGGCTTCCCAACAGTGCGGCAGTGGAGGCCGGAGGGCCTGGGTGGAGCAGACCCAGCTGTGCTGGGGGGGGGCGCTGGACCGGTCCTTCTACTGCTGGGCTCCCACTGAGCCTGTAAACTGAGTCACTCTGATGAGCACACAGGGTCCTAAGTTCCCGAACGTGTATGTCTGCACCACAGAGCTCTGCCACGTGTCAGCTAGGACCACGGGACAACCGCTCCTGGCTCTCTCACCTGTGAACAGGAACAACCCCAGGACTCACCTCTCAAAGGGTTGACAAAGGATTAAATAAGAATACAGAGGGGCCGCGTGGTGGCGGGCATCCCACACAGGCACTGGCTCAAGCCCTGCCGCTCTACTGCGATCCTTAACGTGGTCAAGCGTACGTCAGAGCGTGGCGCTCTCGGCCGTCACAGCACTGGGTCCTCCTGCAGCACTGGGCTCCTGTCCCATCATCTATTTAAGGCGTTCATCTCAGAACTCAAACAAGGCCTGGCTCCTGCGAGTGGCCGACCACTCCTTAAGTGTGTCAGTTCATCAAGGCCTCCTGTAACGCGCCTGGGAAGGCAGCGCAGACGGCTCAAGTGCCTGGGCCCCTGCGCCCGTGGGGGAGACCCAGAAGACGCTCCTGGCTCCTGGCTCCAGTCCAGCTCAGCTCTGGCCGTTGTGACCAACTGGGGATGAACCAGCAGATGAAGGACCTCTCTCTCTCCCCTCCCCCTTCCTCTCTCCCTCTCTCCCCTGTAACTCTGCTTTTCAAATCTTTTTTTCTTTTTTTTTAAATAAGAATACAGAGTAAGCACTTAACCCAATGCTTGGCACATAGTAAGAGCTCAAAAATGGTCTCTTCCCGAAACTCCTTTAAAATTGACTTTTTGGTTTGTTTTCACTTAAAATCCTAAGGCTATTTCAATAATAAAGCTACTACCCCACACCATGTCACTAGTAGGGAATGTAAAGCCTCAGATGTTCACTCATTGGTTTAATCGCCATCTATATAGCATTCTGCCAATATGGCAGTTTCTTGGTCTTCTTTCTAACTTTTTCTAAATGTCAGCTTTATTGAGAATCTTTCTGATAAAAAGTTGTCACAAAAGGGAACAGGTGTATTCTCTCACACAAAGACCACAAGGGCAGTTCTATTTCTACACGAGAAAGACAAGAGAATGTATTCTGCTGGTTCACGCCCCAAATGCCTGCAGCAGCCAGGGCGGGGCCAAGGTCAGGTGCCAGGACTCCAGCTGGGGTCTCCCACAAGGCAGCAGGAGCCAGCTGCAGGAAGCTGGACGGGAACAGAGGCAGGGCTCCGACACGGGGCGGCTTCACCTGCTGACCACCATGCCTGCCCCACTATTACTTCTAAGTGAAATCACTGACAGCTTAGTGTGGATTACGCTCTTTAAAAAGCGTCTACGAGCCGGAGCCGCGTCTACCACACGATGCTGCGTCCGCGCCAACGCCTGCTGCGGGGTCAGCCCCGGGGAGCGCGCGAAGCCCAGGGCTCCAGTGGGCGCAGCACAAGGACACGGCCTCCTCACAAGCGGCCCTTCACGAGGGCGCTTCGAAAGGCTCATGCAAACACCGAACCAAAAGACGAATGTATTTTGCTGCAAAACATTTTGAAATCCACACTGAATTTCTTCCTAAAACGCACTTTCCATGAACTTAGGTTCAAAAGGTGCTGCGTATGCCAAAGGCATGGTCTCTCAGAAAGTGAAGCTGCTGGCCAAGTCGGCAGCTGGGTGGCCTGTGACGTCTCGCATCGTTTCAACAATAGTGACAAAGTTAACCTTGACAAATTCAGGTCCAAGTTTTGTGGGACAGCCCCAGCACCTGGGGATACAGAGCCGCTGCCCCACCTCTTCCTGTGCCGGGACAGGTGAGCTGTGTGGCTCTCACAGGGGGGTCAGCCAGCTGTGGTTCTGGGCTCCTGACAGAGGTTTCCCGAGATGAGAGGCGCCCTCACCGCCAGCACCGCAACCTTCTCTGCTCCTCCTGACAACCTTGACACCCGGCAAGGTACTGTGGCCCCTGCACAGGAACGCATCGCCTCCGAGGGCGCCGTCCTGGCCTTGCCGGGTCCCTGCTATCGGGCGAGCGCTGCCCCTCAGTCGCTGGCGACGCAGCTGCCCTGTGCTCTTTCAGGCAGCAGGTCTGAATGAGGACGACTTCATTTTATCATCGCCTACTGCACTTTCATTTCATTTACCTTTGATTACGCCAACTCCAGAAAGTCTTTTTTTTTTATTTTTTGACAGGCAGAGTGGACAGTGAGAGAGAGAGAGAGAGAAAGGTCTTCCTTTGCCGTTGGTTCACCCTCCAATGACTGCCGCAGCCGGCACGCTGCGGCCGGCGCACCGCGCTGATCCGATGGCAGGAGCCAGGTGCTTCTCCTGGTCTCCCATGCAGGTGCAGGGCCCAAGCACTTGGGCCATCCTCCACTGCACTCCCTGGCCACAGCAGAGAGCTAGCCTGGAAGAGGGGCAACCGGGACAGAATCCGGCGCCCCGACTGGGACTAGAACCCGGGGTGCCGGCGCCACAAGGCGGAGGATTAGCCTAGTGAGCTGCGGCGCCGGCCCCAGAGTGAAAGTCTTTAACAGAAAGTAAGTTTTGTTTAAAATAGTAATGATCATAGTTATCACCTACTGAGTACGGACAGACTCCAAGTATCTCATCCAATCCTCACAAAGACCTGGGGCAGTTCCCATTTTTCCATTAATTCGTTCATCCGCTCCTTGGTGAGCCCCGGCTCGGGGCCGGGCTCTGGCCCACTGTACTGCGGTTATGAACAGGAAGACCCTCCTCTCAGGAGATACCACGGAAGCACAGGAGGAGGAGCACGGGGTCTGTGACCGACGCCCGTGGCTGGCGTGCAGCGGGCCCGGAGCGGCACCGCGGCTCTTCCCCTCGCTCGGGGCGCCCCAGCACGTGGGCGACATCCTCCTACCTGTTCCCCCAGCTTCCCTCAGACTTACACGCGACTTCTCGTGTGTCTGAGATCCGCTAATTCTAATCAGTAACAATCAGGCTCTTATTACGTAGGTGACTTTTTTAAAAAATCAGAAAATAATCAATACATCTTCAGGCCAAACTGGAGACCCCATCACGTCTTATGCTCTGACTTCTAAAAGCATCACATACCTTCTGCAGAATTTTTGGGTGCTGAGCCAGTATAGCGAGTTCTTGATGACCAGGGATTGGCCTTTCTTACTCAGGACGCCCCTCAGGCTATGTCCGTGGAAACACGGCCTGTCGGTGCCCTTCTCAGTCCAGTTGAACTGAAAGCTTGAAGGCTTTTTCTCCCCAGGAGCTGGGGTGCAATCAGCCAGTGCACTGAATTGCTTTTGGAGATTCACCACCATCTCTGGAATGCAAGCAGAAGGAAAGCACCGCGGTCAAACGCGTGTTAAGTCCAGTGAGCTGGGCGAGCCGACGCGAGTGCACCCGTGCTGCGGCGGCAGCAAGACGGGACCGCCGGGAGGAGGAGGACGGGGCGCTGCAGAGAAGGAGCAGGATGGTCACCTTCACGAATTACAAGTAAGAAAAAGGACGTACAAGACCATCCAGATGTAATTCTCCAGAGAATTCTGAGTTACAGAGACAAAGGGCTGATGGCAACGCAGGCTCTGCCCCGAGTACCGGCAAGTCCCGGAGACAGAGCCTACGGAGACTCCCTGCGGGGACGAGGCTCCCCGGAACACAGTCTCCCCTGGAGCGCTTGTTTCCAAAGTGCAGTTACACGAGCAGTCCTCGTCAAGTCAGGGCACCGGCTGTGCTACAACCAGGCTGCCGGCTGGCACCGTCACAAGCTCACCTCGTCTCTTATACACCACCGGCTTGTCAATGTACGAGTGGTAGAGTGGCTTTTCACTTTTCCACAGGTACCTGTACAAGGCAGAAAACACAGCTGCAGTGGGATGGAGAAGAAATGGACCTAACCACGTTTCAGAGAACGCCTCTGCAGTAGCACTGAAGCTCCCGACACTGTTTGACAGCGCTGCTTAGCATGGCTTCGCGTGCTGACTGGCGCGCGCCCACCCCGCCTGCAGTCCTAGGAAGCACTGAGCGAGCTGGCCAGAGCACGGCCACAAGCAGTTAAGGTCCTGAAGCTGTGAACTATACACAGTGAGGTGGAGACGGTTTCCCTTACCACGAAATCCCCGCGCCGCGATCTGCCTACGACGCAGCCTCCCAGCAAGTGACAGCTCCTGTGCCTCGGCCTCAGTGCCCTGGGCTGCAGAGGAGGGGGCACTTCCAAGTCTGCTCACGCAAACACGGGGCCCCGAAGCCAGGCCCTCCAGCGCTGAACGCCGGGACGTCTCTCCCATGTCTGGCAGGAGGGCGAAGGGGAGGTCTAGATTCCAGCACCGCACAGCCCCAGAAAAGGCCGCCAGGGAGGCGCTACTGTACAAGGGGGTCGTGCAGTCACCCGACCCTGGGGCCCTCCGGGCAAAGACTAAGAGCCATCTGAGGTTCCTGCAGATGAGTGTCACCAGCCCTGCACTCGGGCCAGAGGGAGGGGCGGTGTTCTGGTGCTGGTTCTAGCGGCTGCTGCTATGGCACAGACACCAGTGTTCGTCCTCAATCCCATGTCCGCTACTTCTGAGTTCCCTAGGTTAACGCACTCTCACAGCTTCTAGTAAAAGTAATCTACCCTCCTCTTGATCCTTCCTTTGACAGACAACTTGGCAATGGGAGAGCGCACTGAGTGAGGGGACCTGGCTCTGCCACTGCCCGGCGGGATCCCCGTGAGTGACACAGCACCGAGGTTCTCCAGGTCAGGAATGGTTCCTGTCCGCTCTGTCCCTCCCTCGCGCTGGCAGCAGCGGTGCACAGGAGGAACCCATGAAATACGCTGAAGGACCAGCAGATGAACAAGAGAATTCCGCCTCTCCAAACCTGTTTTCTACCTTTACAGGATTGTTGTGAGGAATAATTAAGGCGAAGTAAATGCAGCGTCTTTAAATCCTACACAATTAGTAGAATAAATTACCCAGCACTTGACAAAGTGCTTGGATAGAGACACTCAATTATCCGTGGATTTTCCAGAAAAGATGAAAGGAATTATATTTTTCAATCCACAGTATTCTATAATTGGTAATTTTCCACATTATTTTTCATGCTGAGAAAGAAAATGTATATAAAAGGAGACACTAGCAATTTTATGACAGCATTTTAGTAATTTAGGAATTGAGACTTAAGGATTTCATAACTACTTAAATCAGTAAAATAATGACTATACATAAAAGAGAGACACAAACTTTTTACCTTGAGTTCCCACAGTGACATAAAAGGTGAAGAACAGAAATGAAGTACTCTCTAATCATCATATAAATGAAATTGTAATGAACCAAACCGCATGTAAAGTCTATCAGAAAGTTTACCATTTAATCCTGTGGTAAACGAGTCTGCAATTCTTTAAAATCTCTCTCTTATGGTGGCTGTTATTGTCTTAAACACTTAGAGTGACAGAATCACCAACAATAAAGAACTCCCCTAAGCAGCCTGACCCAATCTCCGGGCACACCCACTGACACACTCCTCCTGGGTTCCCAAGTCAGCTCCTCTGTTTGTAACTGACGAACACCCACACCAGTGGGAGCCCCGTGAGCATCAGGAGGCTGCACTACCATTCCCTCAACGTCCTCTGCCCTCAGGATGGGAAAGGTGACTGAAAACAGCAACACTCCAGTTGTGCAGGTGTCCCTTCTCAAACTAAGGTTCCTCAAAAACGTCCTTTGTTTGGCCCATCTCTTCTACTTACGTGAAGCTGCAGGGACAGGCCGCAGGCCTTGTTTCCTGGCTTCAAGTTATCTGTGTATTTTCCCTGCCTCTACATCATTTGATTCCTCATTTAAAAAAAAGTTGAGGGGCCAGTGTGGTAGTGCACCTGGTCAGGCTGCCGCCTCCAACACCTGCCTCTCCTATGGGAGCCAGCTCGGTCCCAGCTGCTCCACTCCCAATCCCGCTTCTGGCTAGTGTGCCTGGGAGGGCAGGGGAGGGGGGTCCAAATGCCACTCATGGGCGAGACCCTGCAGGAGGCTCCTGGCTTTGTCCAGCCCAGCCCTGGTCATTGCAACCATTTGGGGAGTGAACAGTGGATGGAAGATCAATCTCTCTTAACTTTGCCTTTCAAATAAATAGATGAATCTTTTAAAAAGTTGAGGCATAATGTACATGGAGAAGTCACCATTTTCAGTGGCTCTGCCAGCGCTGACAAACATATCCAGCTGTGTGATCACCATCATGACATACAGAACAGCTCCTTTATTCTGGAAAGCCTCCCCCACACAGTGGAAGTCAATTCCCCTCCTTACCCTTGGTCCCAGACAACCACCGCTCTTTCTCTGCCTCTCCAAATTCAGTTTTCCAGAGTGTAACATAAGTGGAATAACAATACTTGGAACCTTCTGAGTCGTTTATTCGGCAGAGGTACCTGCCTGCATCAGCGGCTTGTTTCTCTGCGTTGTGGGATGGTATTCTACCTATGCACAGGCTGAGGCCCATCCGCTTCCTAGTGGAAGGACGTCTAGGCTGTCGCTTGCTTTAGGCAAGTAGGAATGAAGGCACTATAACATCTCCACATGAATTCTATGTGAATCTGAGTTTCCACTTCACTTGAGTAAACACCTAGGAGTGGAAACTGCCGTAGTAAGTGCATTTCCAACTCTATGAGGATAAACTGCCTAACTTTCATCCCCACACTTGGTATGGCCAGTTTTTGCTTCTGTTCGCCTTTGTTTTAAGGCATCTAATTGATGTGTAAAGATTTCTCACTGTGGCTTTCATTTGCATTCTTTACCAATAATGTCAAGCAACTTCTGTGTGCCATCTACATATACAAATCTTCGGTCTAATAAACCTTTTGTCCATTTGACAAAATTGAGTTGCTTTCTCATTGTACGAGAATTTTTTATATATTCTCAATACAAATCTCTTATCAGACATGTGCCCTGCCATAATTTCTCCCAGCCTGTGGCTTCTTATTCCCTTAAATGTCTTTTGAGGAGCAAAGGTTCTTACACCTTAGGAAGTCAATTTTCTTTTATTGACCATGTTTTTGGTGTCATATTTGAGAAATGCCTGCCTAAGCCAAAAGGTTGCTGGGATTTTTTTTTTTTAATATTTATTTATTTTTTTATTTGAAAGGCAGAGTTAAAGAGAGAGAGAGAAAGGGAGAGACAGAGAGAGAAATTTTCCATCTGCTGGCTCACTCCCCAAACGGCTGCAACGGCCAGAGCCGGGCCTATCCAAAGTCAGGAGCCAGGGGGTTCTTCCTACTTTGGGCCACCTTCCGCTGCTTTCCCAGGTGCGTTAGCTGGGAGCTGGATCAGAAGTGGAGCAGCTGGGACTCGAACCAGTGCCCATATAGGATGCTGGTGCTGCAGGTAGTGGCTTTTACCCTTTATGCCACAGCGCTGGCCCCAGGGATTTTCTGCATATGGTTTTTAATTCACTTCCATGTTGTTCTCAACATTTTCAATAACAAGTAGAAGTCACAAAGTAGCCTCTTACGGTGTTCTTAGGGTTTCAGCTCTTGTTTAGTAGTGATCTTCCATGATCTCACGCAGAGTAAGCCAGAGCTACAGAAATGTCTTAATGATTTTTATCTGACTACATGGAAGACGATATCTAGAGAGAAAAACAAGAAACTAGAGGCAGAATGGCGGTGGGGTAGGATGAAATGGCAGGTGAAGAGCACACACAAGGGCTTCGCGGTTAAGAGTGGGCGGTGGGGCCGGCGCTGTGGCACAGTGGGTTGAAGCCCTGGCCTGAAGTGCCAGCGTCCCATTTGGGCGTCAGTTCTAGTCCTGGCTGCTCCTCTTCCGGTCCAGCCCTCTGCTATGGCCTGGGAAAGCAGCAGAAGATGGCCCAAGTGCTTGGGCCCCTGCATCCGTGTGGGAGACCCGGAGGAGGTTCCTGGCTCCTGGCTTCAGATTGGCGCAGCTCCAGCCATTGTGGCCACCTGTGAACCAGCGGATGGAAGATCTCTCTCTCTGTCTCTACATCTTTCTCTGACTTTCAAATTAAAAAAAAAAAAAAAAAGGGTGGGCAGTGACTTACACTTGTTTGTACATCAGTCTGCAGCAGGCTTCCTTGGAAAATGCCATTTTGTAACTAGACTGACTTTCTGTGGTTTCTAAAGTCTCCTCTTACTTTAGGGGAAAAGGTAGTAAGTTAGTAAGCCTAGTTCTTACACTAGCTATAGGTCAGTAAGCCTTACATGTGCTCCTGATTCTAATAGTGTAATCTGAACTGAGCTCAGGAGTGCTTTTCACACTGAGATGCCTGCACAGCAGGGCCCTGAACTCCTGCCCTCAGACTAGCCAGGCCTACCCCAGCGGGCACCACAAAACAAAGGCTGTTCCTCCAGCATGGCCTAGAGCCACAGAACAAACGTGCTTTTGCTATTACGCTTGAACCCACTGCGGGCCGCTGACTGCGAGCCGCTCTTTCTCTGACCAGGAGGCGGAAGGACCCCTCCTGGGCACCCCGCCCGTCCCCCTGCCTGTGCATCAGACCCCACTGCAGGGAACCTGTCACTCCCCTGGCCGGAGTCTGCCTCCCCGAGGGCCTCACTCCCCCTGAGAGCCTGTGTCCCCTTTACAAGCTCTCTGAGACACAGAGGAAAACTATCTGGTTCTATGCTGGAACTTGAAAGTGGCTCTAATTCAGTAAATAAGTAACAATTATTATTATTACTTCATGGATAAGGAAATTGGAGCTCAACAAATTATTATGGGGAATCTTGAGTTGGTTTTTTTTTTTTTTTTTTTTTTTTTTTTTTTTTTTTGACAGGCAGAGTGGACAGTGAGAGAGAGAGAAAGGTCTTTCTTTGCCGTTGGTTCATCCTCCAATAGCCCCTGCATCTGGCGTGCTGCGTCCAGCGCACTGCACTGATCCGATGGCAGGAGCCAGGTGCTTCTCCTGGTCTCCCATGCGGGTGCAGGGCCCAAGCACTTGGGCCATCCTCCACTGCACTCCCTGGCCAAAGCAGAGAGCTGGCCTGGAAGAGGGGCAACTGGGACAGAATCCGGTGCCCCAACTGGGACTAGAACCCGGTGTGCCAGCGCCGCAAGGTGGAGGATTAGCCTAGTGAGCCGTGGCGCTGGCCCGAATCTTGAGTTTTTTCCTCAAAGGATATAAAATTACCTATCAAACTGGTACTATTAAATTAGAAAATTTACATAAAATAGTTGTTAAATTTTTCAAAATTGCATAGAGACTCAAAACTCTGAGAATACAATTGTTCTAATCAGAAATCAATGGAAATAGATTCTGTATTATATAAGATACGGTGTTTAAAAATTTCAAGTTAAGGCCGGCGCCACGGCTCACTAGGCTAATCCTCCGCCTTGTGGCACCGGCAGACCGGGTTCTAGTCCCGGTCAGGGCACCGGCTTCTGTCCCGGTTGCCCCTCTTCCAGGCCAGCTCTCTGCTGTGGCCCGGGAGTGCAGTGGAGGATGGCCCAAGTACTTGGGTCCTGCACCCCATGGGAGACCAGGAGAAGCACCTGGCTCCTGGCATTGGATCAGTGTGGTGCGCCGGCCGCGGCGGCCATTGGAGGGTGAACCAACGGCAAATGAAGACCTTTCTCTCTGTCTCTCTCTCTCTCACTGTCCACTCTGCCTGTCAAAAAATAAAAAAAATTAAAAAAATTAAAAATAAATAAAAATAAAAAATTTCAAGTTAACTCAGCTTCTGTCCACTAAGGCTAAGAGGTGAAGTCAGCCTAATGGGAAACACAGTCAGGATTCAAACCCAGCCCCATCTGTCCCCAAGCTGTCTTCCCAGGCTGCTGTGGGGGAGCCCGTGCAGAGGAGGTCAGAGGGGCCGAGGGCATCACACACACTCACCGCCTGCTTTCCTCTGTCTTGATTTCCACAGGACCTCTGTCTGGGGAGTGGGAAGCATTCCGATGACAGACCCAAAGACTACACATGTGACATTCTAATCTCTGTGATGTTAGGACGCACACATGGGAAATGACCAAAGGGAAGGAGGCAGGAGTATCAGAATCCAGGCAAGACTTGTGCAAATTATAATGTTAAATTTGCATTTAAAGTCAAATTTGTTCAATTTGTACCCTGGATTGGATCCTGGAACACAGACACTGGCACAATCCAAATCAAATGCAGAGGTTAGATAATAGTTAATAATAATAACCAATATTAGTTAACAGTTAATACTAACAAAAAGAAAAACCAATCAGAAGTCGGGCTCCTCTTCCTGGAGAAGCAACGACACAGCGCTGTCTGCCGGTGCAACCCCGCCTGCCCACGTAAAGTCAGGCAGAAACACGGGGCCAGACCCGCGAGGCAGGACACGTCACTTACTTTGCCCTGGCTTCCTCCCGTTTTTGTTTTTTCTCATCAACGGTTTTCTTCATAACTTGGTACCACTTTCTGAAATCAAACCATGGCTTATCTGAAAGAAATGGAATCTGTGATTAGCCAATAAACCTAATAAACGTGGTTCATTTGAATTTTCGTTCATTCCTATAACTAATGTTTACATAGTAGATCTTGGACATGACGAGCGAGTCGCTGTCTCCACACTCATGATTCTCCCAAGCACCTGTCACACTCCCTCGTCTAAGTTTCCTCCCTATAGGGTGGTTCCACCTTGTTATCCTGAAGCCACCTTTTTAATCCAGGAATCGGTGTCTCCTAGAAACAGACTTTTTTTTTTTTTGACAGGCAGAGTGGACAGTGAGAGAGAGAGACAGAGAGAAAGGTCTTCCTTTGCCGTTGGTTCACCCTCCAATGGCCGCCGCGGCCGGCGCGCTGCGGCCGGCGCACCGCGCTGATCCGATGGCAGGAGCCAGGAGCCAGGTGCTTTTCCTGGTCTCCCATGGGGTGCAGGGCCCAAGCACTTGGGCCATCCTCCACTGCACTCCCGGGCCACAGCAGAGAGCTGGCCTGGAAGAGGGGTAACCGGGACAGAATCCGGCGCCCTGACCGGGACTAGAACCCGGTGTGCAGGCGCCGCTAGGCGGAGGATTAGCCTAGTGAGCCGCGGCGCCGGCCGAAACAGACTTTTTCAACCTACAAGTAGGCCTCCTCCTCCCTAACACTCAGCAGTATGGCCCGGCCTGCGGTGGTGTGCCAACACGTATGACAACCTGCAACTGTGGAATGGACAGAACAGCTGAACCCAGCCTCTCAGTTCTGTCAGCTCCTACTCCTGTTCTTCCTAACCCTAACCCAAAGATCACAGGTGGGGTGAGTGTGTGTTCAAGACGCAGAGGTTAGGGAGACAACAGGACTGAAAGCAGTCAAGCACAAAGGGAATTATTCGCTAATAAAAATCGCCCCTTTCAATGTCTAATTAACAATTTTTTTCAGCTGGTCAATATAATCATCACCTAACCCAAAACAGGCTTGTAAAGCACACAGCCACCGGAGAGAGGAGACCACCGAAGAATGACGAGGACAGAGGAAAACTAGACCGAGAAACTCGAGGTTCTCTGACCTGGACTCAGCCTCACCTTCTCTGAGGCTCAGCCCCTCATCAGTGAGGTGGGGGCGGGGGGGGGGGCAGAGACAGTGCAGGCAGCAGGCCCAGCCCGCTATCAGCACAGCTCCTCTGCGGCCTCTGAGGGAGACGCAGCAGCGTGCCGGCCAGGGTAATCCTTCAGCACTAGAAGGGACAAGGCCCTCGGTTCCACCTCTCACCCTTGCAGACGCCAACATGAGCGATCTGCAGGGAGAAGTATTTCATCTGCACATATTCTGGAAAGAACAAGCAAAATGGTTCTCACCACTAAACTTAAGACCCTAAATCCAATGAAAGTGAGATCCTAGAGAGGATTAAGCAACTGGAATGACTGTAAGAATGCAGCCATTTGCAAAGCTTTGCTCGCGGTGCTCGGGCCAGTTACTACGCTAGACCCTGCAGATACACTTAAAAACAAGGATGTGGCCTTCCCCGCGGGTCCGCACCACTACCCATCAGTGTCAGGCACTCACTGTGCACCAGAATTCTCCTATGCACTTTACGAAAATGCACGATCTAATAGGCAGAGTGACACCTAGGCCACTGGTTACAACTCAGAGTCTAAACACTGAGTAGTAGAAGTCTGGACAGGAGTGACGAGGCCAGAGTGATTGTTCTGATTTAGGAAGAGGGGAAGCAGGTTCTAGCAGGCGGGTGTGAAGAGCAGGAAAAAGAGTGATCTTTATGCTCCCTCTCGAGGAGTGAAGGGGGTGTTCAGGGACAGACGGGGAGTGGGAGCTAAGAGGGAGACAGCACTTCAGAGAGAGGGACCAGCAGGAGCGCACTGAAGCATCGGAACAGGCAGGACGGCCACAAAGGCGCCAGCAGCAGGCCCACGGCCCAGTGCGCCTGGCCAGCAGCGGCTGAGAACGACACGCAGGCCGCTCTCCACACAGCTGAAGTCACTCAAGTTTCTTAGCAGCCCAGAGAAACAACGAGACATCCCTGGCACAAGGCATGAGTTGTGCACTTGGGTACGTCTAAGTGCAGACTGTCCCAAGTTCCCCGCTGAATTTACTGTAGCTTTTAATTTATCGTTTATAGTCTCTTTGAATCTGATTGATGAAAGATTAAGTACCTTGGTGGTCTTCATTATAGTCTTCAGCAAGATCAGACAAAGACCTGGAGACAACAATGAGTAAGTCAATCTATTTAATTTTTTTTTTTTTTTTTTTTTACAGGCAGAGTTAGTGAGAGAGACAGACAGAGAGAAAGGTCTTCCTTTTTCCACTGGTTCATCCCCCAAATGGCCACCACGGTTGGTGCTGCGCCGATCCAAAGCCAGGAGCCAGGTGCCTCCTCTGGTCTCCCATGGGGTGCAGGGCCCAAGCACTTGGGCCATCCTCCACTGCCCTCCCGGGCCACAGCAGAGAGCTGGACTGGAAGAGAGGCAGCCGGGACTAGAACCAGCGCCCATATGGGATGCCGGCGCCTCAGGTGGAGGATTAACCAAGTGAGCCACGGCGCCGGCCCCAAGTCAATCTATTTAGAAAACATGTATTTGGGCAGTTAAATTCTGAATGCTTCTGAAAGAGAAGTACAAAATAGTACTTGAAACTGATGTCAAGTTTGGAGGAGAACCAAGCACAGACGTGGTGAGCAGCGTCACTCTGTACTGACACTGGGGAGGGACAGACTCCTTTAATTTCCATGACCTTTGAGACACGCACAGTGCCAGCGGTCTGCAGGCAGACGACATAAGTGATCCTCAAAGCTTAGGGGATATTTTAAAGCTCAGGAATCAGTGGAACAATGAGAAATACTGCTGCCTACAGAATAACAGGAATAAAACAGGATGCAACAACCAACACCAAGCTGAGTCAAAGATTATGTAAGAATAATTGTTACCACAGAGTACCAGTCAACATCCTGTGACTACGGAGTGGCTCCACTTTCTGTGTGGACGCCACAAGCATTCCTTTACTTTAAATAATTAGGTAAAAGCAACAAAAAAGCTTTTTCCTTATCTTTTATTAAAAATCAAGATCACCACAGAAAAGTATTACTTGTTGTAAAACTAACACACACTCACCATTCCACATTGTCATCCAATAAAAAGAGCAGTTTCAGTGCCACTACAATGACAGCCACAGCTTGTACATCATATTTAACAGTCTTTGCCATTTTAGCGATAGGATCAAACGTCAGGAAATCCACCTCTCCTATTCCAGTCATTTTCACTACTTGGCAGGTTAAACCCTGCATTTCATCTGTTGAAGAACAAAACAGTAAGACATACATTAAATTTTTTGGCTAATTAGACCACACCAATGTATATACCATAACTCTTTTTTTTTAAGATCTATTCGAAAGAGTTACAGAAAGAAGTAGAGACAGAGAGAGGTCTTCCACCTGCAGGTTCACTCCCCAGATGGCTGCAACGGCCAGAGCCACGCCGATCTGAATCCAGGAGCCAGGAGCCTCCTCTGGGTCTCCCACATGGATGCAGGGGCCCAAGCTCTTGGGCCATCTTTCACTGCTTTCCAAGGCCGTAGCAGAGAGCTGGATCGGAAGAGGAGCAGCCGGAACTAAAACTGACACCCATATGGGATGCCAGCGCTTCAGGCCAGGACTTTAACCCGCTGTGCCACAGTGCCGGCCTCTATACCATAACTTTTATCTTAAAATATGACACTCTAGGGGCTGGCGCTGTTGGCACAGCGGGTAAAGCCGCCACCTGCAGTGCTGGCATCCCATATGGGTGCTGGTTCCAGTCCCGGCTGCTCCACTTCCAATCCAGCTCTCTACTATGGTCTGGGAAAGCAGTGGAAGATGGCCCAAGTCCTTGGGCCCCTGCACCCGTGTGGGAGACCCAGAAGAAGCTCCTGGTTTCAGATGGGCGCAGCTCCAGCCTTTGCAGCCATCGGGGGAGTGAACCAGCGGATAAAAGACCTCTTTCTTTGTTCCTCTGCCTCTGTAACTCTGCCTTTCAAATAAATAAATAAATAAATAGGCCGGCCCCGCGGCTCAATAGGCTAATCCTCTGCCTGCGGCGCTGGCACACCAGGTTCTAGTCCCGGTTGGGGCACTGGATTCTGTCCCGGTTGCTCCTCTTCCAGGACAGCCCTCTGCTGTGGCCCAGGAGTGCAGTGGAGGATGGCCCAAGTGCTTGGGCCCTGCACCCCATGGGAGACCAGGAAGAAGCACCTGGCTCCTGGCTTCGGATCGGTGCAGCGCGCCGGCCGTAGCGGCCATTTGGGGGGTGAAGCGATAGAAGAAAGACCTTTCTCTCTGTCTCTCTCTCACTAACTCTGCCTGTCAACAACAACAACAAAAAGAATAGAAAAATGAATGGTAAAACGTTGGCAAGGCATACCTTTTCCAGTTTTGACTTCTAAAACATCTACTGTTTGCAGGACACCTCAGTCCCTAACCAACAGGCACATCTATCAGTGTTCTCTTGTCTGTGTTTCTACAGCAAGGTGCCCTTTCCTGAAACTGGCTTTCCTGGAAGGCCAAGTGCTGCTCGCGGAATGCACACACCCTGGCTAGCAGCCTGAGGCCCTCACCCTGTGTTTAACCAGAGGAACTGCTTTCTTAAGAAATGACATGCAGCTGTCACTCAAGCTAGAACACCAGGGGTCTTGGAACCAGGAGACCTTGAACCTATATTTAGGTTCCCAATCAGTAGCTTTGTAATTCTGGATTACAGCCACTTATCTAGTTCCTTCACTTGTAAAATGGGCTTATGGTGAGGATACACTGAGGTGAGATAAGAGTAAGTGAATATACTGTGAATACCCTGAGTAAAAATTAAAATTTATTTTTTTTAACATTCATTTAGTTATTTGAAAGAGTTACAGAGAAGGAGAACCAGAGGCAGACAGAGAGGAAGGGGAAGAGAGATCTTTCATCTGCTGGTTCACTCCCCAAAAGGTAGCAATGGCTGCAGCTTGGCCAGGCCAAAGCCAGGAGTCAGGGGCTTCTTCCAGGTCTCCCACGTGGGTGAGGGGACCAAGCACTTGGGCCATCTGCTGTTGCTTTCCCAGGCACATCAGCAGGGAGCTGGATCAGAAGCAGAACAGCTGGGACTTGAACCAATGCCCATATTGGATGCCAACACTGCAGGTGGAGGTTTAACATTCTACACCACAGCAGTGGGCCCAAATTTCTTTTTTTTTTTTTTTTAAAGATTTATTTATTTACTTGAAAATCAGAGTTACACAGAGAGAAGAAGAGACAGAGAGAGAGAGAGAGAGAGGTCTTCCATCCGCTGGTTCACTCCCCAGATGGCCACAACAGCCACAGCTGTGCTAATACTAATCCAGGAGCCAGGAGCTTCTTCCTGGACTCCCATGTGGGTGCAGGGGCCCAAGGACTTGGGCCATCTTCTACTGCTTTCCCAGGCCATAGCAGAGAGCTGGATCAGAAGAAGAACAGCCGGGACTAGAAGCATTGCCCAAATGGGACTCTGGTGCTTCAGGCCAGGGCTTTAACCAGGGTTTTAACCAGTGCTGTGCCACAGCGCCAGCCCTAAAAGCTTTAAAGATTATAGATTTGATATTTATATTTGTACGTATATTTCTATTTATGTTACAGTTCATGTACACGGTTTTGTATACTGTTTTTTGCGTAACAGGTAAGTATGCCTTTCTTCTCCCATTAAAAACACAACCGCACACTTGGTGCTGCTTAGTGATGACACAGTCACACCCTGCTGTGTCTGCTCACTTTTCTCGTCCAGCAAGAAATTCCGGACTGGATTCCATCACAGATTCCATCGACGTTCCCTGTGTCTCGCCACCGTGAACAGGTACGGCGAGGCTGTCTCCACACTGTCTCCACACCCTACAGAGCCTGTTCTGCTCTGACCAGGCTGCCCTCTCCATCTCTCTTAGGGACTGGAGGTAGCGTACGTGACTATACAACAAAGATGTCCCCAGATCAGTGGCTGGCATTCTCTTCAAGTTCATTATGTAACGACACCGCTGGTGCTTTGCTTTGGGTGGGGCGGATTAGGTCACCAACGACACACACCGAAACATCTGCCACTTTACCTGCACTCAGCACATTTGCTACAAAAACAAAACTGTCTTCTCAGGCACAAATCTCCTGCCCAAAATAGAATTTGATTCCTGAACAGCGTGCCTTTGGCCAATTCAATGATCTGAATTCCTGTACGGGAGGACTTTGCAACGAAGCTCCAGGCTGCAGACCCCGTCTGTGCACGTCACACCACTCACTCACCAGGGAGGTTGACTTCCATCAGGTACTTCATGACCAAGATGTTGGGGTGGAGGTAGCAGTCTTCAGTTATGTCTGGAAAACGAGGCAAATCTAAGAATATGGCAATTTCAATCATCTTTTTGTAGATATCTTCATAGTCAGGCCACGACTGAAATAAAAGAGGTAATCAGGGCAATGATTCACACAACATAATTTATTTTTAACAATATTTTCTCACTTTTAAAATAATACATATTCATTGAATAAAATCTAGAATGAGGAAAAAAATGAGGGGGGAAAATATCTGTAAGTCCTGACTAATCTAACATAGCGATTTTAAATCATAATACTAACTTTGAAAGCCACTACAATTTTACTCGGCTCATACAATATTTACTGGCCTTGCCCAGGGTGGGTGGGCAGCAACGGGAAGAGGGGCTGGCAACACTACTCCCAGCACAGCTGGGGTGCGACTGTGACCAGGAACTTCTGTCCTGCTGTATATCTGATGTCTATTTTACCTACATAAAACGTGTAAAAAGAGAAAAAGAAAAAAAGAAGGGAAAGATAATAGCAGTTAAGTGAACTACTCCATGTAGCAGAGCTGCTTCAAACCCTACCAGCATGGAAGAAACAGTTACCAGCCCATGCAGCTAGGAAGTCCTTAAGTAACTGATCCACCCCTACAAAATTCCTAGCAAGAGGATGTCTGGTCCTTCTGGGAAACCTCCAGCAATGGGAGCCCAACACCTTCTCGGAAGGCAGTCACGCTATTTTTAATGTGTCTACTTGTTAAAATGTTCTTCCTTAGTCTTTGCAAAAATCTGTTTCCCACTTTGAGCATGCAGGCATTGAAATCCCGAGTTGTTACATCTCACCCATCTTCTAACACGTGAAGGTATGGGGAACCAACTGAAGGAATGAATATTTCTCTCGGAAATTTCACTTGGTTAAATGCAGCCATTATGCAATGACAAGGCATGGGGAAAAACCCCTGACAAAGGTACGGGGTAAGGGTATGGGTATGGGTACAGAAGACTGCCACGCAGCCTGTCTCACGATGACATACAGCAAATCTGCTCAAACAATGAAATACTACCCCAATATACGCATTTCTTTAAAATGGGGCTGGCACCGTGGCATATATTAGGGTAGCAGTATAAATATTAGAGGCCCCTCTTTCTTTCCATTTCTACTTCCATCCCCTCCCGGAATGACCAACCTCCTAACAGCAGCCTTAAATCTGTGTTTGCCCTTTGCAATGAGTAGCCACAGAGAGATTTTAGAATGCAAACCTGATACGTCCCTCCCCTACTTAAATCCCTCCAATATTTATATTGCTCTTAGGCTAAGCTCCACTCTGAGAGTTTCGTACAAGCTGAATTAGATATATAGTTTCAGCTCCCGAATTTTCACCTAAGATTTTATGAGAATTTTCTAATATTTTGAGATAGCCTGTGAAAACATAATTTTGCGTGACTGGAAAATACTCCCTTCTGTGAATCCATCCTCCCTTGTTAGACATAAACTACATGCATCATATTGAGCAGCGACTGAGATGCGTTGTCTGGGTAGGTTTTATGTCAGCATCCTATTCTGGAGTGCGGGTTCAAGTCCCAGCTGCTCTGCTTCCAATCCGGCTCCCTGCTAATGTGCCTGGGAAGGCAACGCAAGATAGCTCAAGTACTTGGGCCTCTGCCACCCACATGGGAGACCCAGATGGTGCTCCTGGCTTCAGCCTGGCCCAGCCCGATCATCATGGACATTTGGGGAATGAACCAATGGATTTGGAATCTCCTTCTACCTCTCCCTCCTTCTCTCTCTCTGTCTCTGTGTGTGTGTGTGTGTGTGTGTGTGTGACTCTTTCAAGTAAATAAAGCAAATTTTAAAAAACAATAAAATGTGCTTTCTTAGGCTGTTCAGTGACTTAGGGAAATACTCATTAGTACAATATGAGTTTTAAAAAGCAAGAAACAGCACAATAGCTAAAAAGTGGAAACAAGCAAATGTGGTATCCCCATACATGGAATAGCATTCATCCTTTAAAAAGAATGAAATTCTGAGCTAAGCTCCAACATGGATGATCCTTAAAGACCTGATGCCAAGTAAGCCTGACACACAGGACAAATACTGTACAGCCTGACTTATGCTGGACACCTAGAGCAGTCACCTTCAGAGAGACAGAAAGGAGAATGATATTTGCCGGCGTTGGGGCAAGTGGGGAATGGGAAGTTAATATTTAATATTTAATGGAAAAAATAAAAAATAAATTTAAAAAATTTAATGGCTATACGGGGCCAGTGCTATGGCACAGTGGGTAAACTGCCACATGCGGTACTGGCATCCCATGTGGGCGCTGGTTCAAGTCCCAGCTGCTCCACTTCCAATCCAGCTCTTTGCTATGGCCTGGGAAAGCAGTAGAGGATGGCCCAAGTCCTTGAGCCCCTGCACTCAAGTGGAAGACCAGGAGGAAGCTCCTGGATCCTGGCTTCGGATTGGTGCAGCTCCAGGGGTTGTGGCCATCTGGGGAGTGAACCAGCAGATGGAAGACTTCTATCTCTGCCTCTGCCTCTCTGTAACTGTCTTTCAAAGAAATAAATGAATCTTTAAAAAAAGAAAAGAAAGAAAGTAATCTGATGTTTCTCTCAAGCACATTTTTTTTTTTTTTTGAGAGGCAGAGTGGACAGTGAGAGAGAGAGGCAGAGAGAAAGGTCTTCCTTTGCCGTTGGTTCACCCTCCAATGGCCGCCGTGGCCGGCGCGCTGCGGCCGGCGCACCGTGCTGATCTGATGGCAGGAGCCAGGTACTTATCCTGGTCTTCCATGGGGTGCAGGGCCCAAGCACTTGGGCCATCCTCCACTGCACTCCCTAGCCACAGCAGAGAGCTGGCCAGGAAGAGGGGCAACCGGGACAGAATCCGGCGCCCCGACCGGGACTAGAACCTGGCGTGCCGGCGGCACAAGGCGGAGGATTAGCCTAGTGAGCCACGGCGCTGGCCCTCTCTCAAACACATTTAAAAAATACTTAATGGATACAGAATTGGGAAGATGAAAAAGGTGTGGAGACAGAGGGGCTGAGGGCTGGGCAACAGTGTGGATACACCTGACGTCACTGAACCACGCCCTTAGAAACTGTCCAAATGCAAACTTATGCACACGTGTTTTGTAAAGCATAAAAGGAACCTAACCCCCGTCTAAAGGAGAAAAAGCAACATATTAAAGAGGTCATAATTAAAGTGTAATAAAACTAAAAATTTTTAAAAGTTGAACATAGATAAAATCTACAAACATTCAAAATCTATACTACTTGGTAATATCCACCTTTATCACATATATATATTAAAAGATTTATTTATTTATGTGAAAGTCAGAGTTACAGAGACAAAGGGAGACACAGAGAGATCTTCTGTCTGCTGGTTCACTCCCCAAGTGGCCACAATACCAGGGCTTGAGCTGGGCAGAAGTCAGAAGCCAGGAACTTCATCTGCATCTTCCATGTGGGTAGCAAGGCCCCAGGCACTGGGGCCACCTCCTGCTGCTTTTCCCAGGCCATCAGCAGGGAGCTGGACAGGAAGTGAAGCAGCCGGGACACAGCTGGCACTTGTATGGGACCCCAGCGCTGCCAGAGGTAGCTTTATCTGCTCCGCCACAATGCCAGCCCCTACTACCTTTATCTTACATTAAATTTTGGCAAAGGAATCATATGGCGTGGGGAGAGATACAGTTATTAAACAGTAACTATTAAACATGTAATACCAATATATATATGGGTATGCCCTTCCAGGGGACAATATATACTGAGCAAAGAGAAACTGTATCATCCGTAGGATCCGAAGCTCAGGGCTCCTGTGCCTGGAAACCACGCTGGATTACTAGTTAATGATTCCAGTGTAAGACTCAGAGGAATCTTCTGTGTACTGCCTCAAAGGAGGTTAGCGTTACAAGGGGACAGCAGCACTGCATGCCATTTTTGTCCCAGGGCACTGCTACCTCCTGCCACCACCATCACAGGAGGCAGCGGCCCAACTGTCCTTGTAGGCTTGGCCATGTACACCTCTGTGCCCACCCACCCACATCTGCTCCCAGTCCAGCTGAGCCAGGCTCCTAGGGCCCTGCACTGCCGGCTCAGGCGGGCACACCGCTACTCAGCGTGGTGTTGAGAGAGCGAGAGGCAATGAAGCATTTTTGTCTCTGTCCCACTGCCCTTAGCCCAGAGAAGGGAGTCTTTCGTTTGGACAAGATTCTAAAACATGGGTAACTATATATAATAATCAAACACTAACCGGTAGACGGTCTTATTTTGACTTGTAGAAAACGCACTTGGGGCTGGTGTTGTGACGCAGTGGGCTAAGCCACTGCCTGCGATAGCAGCATCCCCCGGTGCTGGTGCTAACCCTGCTGCTCTGCTCCCAGCAAACGCAGCAGCAGCTGATGACCCAGCAGGGGAGAGCGGGAGGGGGCTGAGGCTCCTGGCTTCCGCTGGCTCAGCATCCGCCACTGCCACTGTGGCCATTTAGGGAGTGAATCAGCTGATGAAGATGTCTGTCTCCCTCTTTCCCTTTTCTCCTTCTGTCACTCTGCCTTTCAAAGAAATAAATCTTAAAGAGAAAAGAAAATAAATGCAGTTATCTGCAAAACAACCCAGTGGCTCTCATGGGGCCTGAGTTTTCACTAGACGTGTGGAGTCTCCGCTGTGTCACGTAGACTAAGAGGCTTAGCAGAACCACGGTTAAAATGTGGAGTGTTCCGCAAGGTGTTTTCTCAGCCCTCTGGTTATAAATGATCTGCTTCCACCTCAAGCTGTCGGAGGGACCAGGTGAAACGACAAAGGGAGACTGAGGCAGAGCAGCAAGACTCATGGCACTGCTCGGAGCACCGGCTTGGTCAGAAGCACTTGCAAGGTGCACATTTATTTTATTTTATTTATTTGAAAGCCAGAGTTACACAGAGAGAGGGAGAGATGGGGGGGGGGGTACTGATCTTCCATCTGCTGGTTCACTCCCCAAATGGCTACAATGGCTGGGGCTGGGCCAGGCTGAAGCCAGGAGCTTCTTTGGGGTCTCCCAGGTGGGTACAGGGACCCAAGCACTTGGGCCACCTTCTGTTGCTTTCCCAGGTGCATTAGCAGGGAGCTGGATCGGAAGTGAAGCAGCTGGGACTCATATGGGATG